AGGTGGGGTCCACAACTGACGGTTCCTCCACCAAGTGCATGATCAGACGCTCCGGGGTTCCCTAGAGCGAACAATAAATGCACACACATAAAGACACAAGATAACAACAGGCAGTGCACCCTCATGAACGCACATGAAAGACAACTGACATGAGGGCAAATACAACCTATACAGACACTCAGAGAAAGAGAGCATATAAAAGCAAACACCTCTATCTCACAGACACACACACACACACACACACACACACACCAATTTGAATTTAATTATAGCAACATTAATCATTAAAGTGACAAGGACACAAGCATTAAAGGTGCAGCTATTGAACTGAACTGTCAGCCACCCTTCAATAAAACAAAGATGTGCACGCACGCACGCACGCACACACACACACACACACACAGATAAAGAACAGCTCTTCAAACTAGATCACAGTCGAGCTTTTATTGCACAGGTATCATTCCTGTGGATCTGTATTAAGAATCAATGCATGGGATATCTGGGACTGAATATTTGGGATTTCTACGCACGGTGGATTTTTAATTCCAAACTATCCGACAAACACTACAATGTCCACATAAACTGTTCTTTCCCGTTTCCGGTGAGTTTGCTAATGTAAACAGATCAGAGGTAACTGGGGGAAACGATTCATTTGACAGGGAACAGAAAGTAGAAAGGCTGCTTCTTTTGTCTGATACCACAACAACAAAGCCAAAAACAGAAGTGGAAATGCTAACACTTGTGAATTGACTCGTCTCCACTGGATGTGTTTTGGAGCCTTTCTTTGAGTGACGGCCAAGAGAATCATTCAAATCCATTATGCAATCAATACCTGGCTGTTTCCGGAGGCTCAGAAAAAGGATCAAAAGGCCTTGGAGCGCACTGCAGTGTAGCATGCAAGAAAATACTCCAGCAAGCACTAATAGTGCTAACGTGCCTCTATTAGGATCAACTAAAAACACCGAGCAGCTGCACTGATGTTTTTGGACATGGTCGATTTAATGAGGTGGTACTCAAATCAATCAAAGGCATTTCAGTCTATGTAGTGCTTAATAATGAAAAAGGGGGATAATGTGATTTACTGATTTAAAAAGTTAGTCATGTAACCCCCGGCTCACTGGCTGAATGTTAAACCTTCCTGGTGTCACTCCCTGTGTAATCCTGGTTAGAATATATTCATGAACAAAGCTAAAGGTTTTTCTATAAATTCAGTAAACACAGGCTGAGCTCTGACCTCTAACCTGACCTTACGGTTGAACTCCAGCCGTCCTGCATCCCTTCACATGACAGAACAGCAAAATGCTTCTTGAACATTGACTTAAATTCACCGACCTTGATGACAATATGTCCCTTCCTGGTCCCGCTGCGGTCAAGCTCTCGATGCTCCTTCACCATAACGATCTCCCCCTCCTCCTCCACCTTGTGTGTGTTCTTCTCCACATGGTTGAGGATGCGCCAATAGTCTTCCTGGGCGATGCAGACAAACTGGTCGAGGATGACATGGGGACAGCGAATGAAGTTGTAGTAGAGCACAACATTGCTGTGCGCCACAGCTGGGTACTCAGACAACAGCACAGAGGAAGCATGAGGGTGGGCAGAGAGAGGCATGGACAGACGAAGGGAGGAACATCCAACGAATCTCTTTCTCTCACTACCTATGGTGGTCTAAAAACACTCCCAACAAGCTATTTCGCAGACGCATCCTTTACTAGAGTTTAACACAGGAGCTCCACTAACTTCCCATCATATCATACTGAAAAGAGTGTCAAGACATGACTCTCTGCTACACTACAGTGCTGTCACTTGCTGCTCCCGCCTCAACTAAATCATCAGTTTCTGTATTTGCCTTGCTGAGCTCTACTGCTGTGCAACTTCCTGTCTCTCTGACAACAGGAAATGATGTTCAGGTCAGTTTGGACAGAGAGGCTGTTACCGCATGTACACACTAAGCTTCGTTTACCATCGTCTGCCCATAAACAGCACATCCTAGTCTCTGTATTAAGACAGGCTTCCTGTGAGAAACCTGCAAGACTGTTAGTAACATGAAGTGAGAAATACACCACTTGATGACAATGCACAGGGCGTCTGTGACACAGCTGAAAACCTGTATTTTAAAGGTATTCCAAAATCATAATTTTCCAGACTTAATTATTTAACAAAAAAAAAAGGTGAAAATGAAAATCCCTAAATTCAAATGCATAAAAGTTTTGGTAACAGTGAAAACACCGGATTATACTTGTGTACCAAATAAAGGCAGCATTGTTTCTAGGTGCACCATGGTGCAGACTGGAGTTGGCCAAAGCAAAAACGTGTCAGTCATGAAACGCCATGAGGCAGTCACAGTTCTGCTGACAAACATAAGGCTGTAAATGCAGATCAACTTCTTGTAGCGAGCAGTTCAACAATGACTGAGTGTTGTCTTGTCTGACTTTACCTGGCAGTCGTCCCCCTTGGTGCGAACTTCTCCGTGCATGTACTGTTTGTCCAGTGAGGGTGAGATCCCGAAACTGTTGCCCATACAAAGAGTCTCTGATCTTCCTTCTCGGTGGCTGATCTCCACTGCCCCGTTCAGAATGACATACCAGAGGTCCAGCTGCAGACAAATGCACATCATCAAAATCATCTAACCTGCTGTATCAAACATCTTTGGTCTGCCATGATTCTACCAGCACTGTTAATGCTGTGTATCTTGTTAATGCTTTGCTTTCATGCTCTTTTCCACAGCTAAGACAATATACTGACAGTACATCCATGTGTACTTTAAAACTACTATAAAGGCTATATTTATTTAACAACTGACATTTAGTATAAGGTGAGCAGAATGTGCACTGTGTGAGCTGCGACTGTGATAGTGAAGACGTATTGTCTCTAGTGGCGGCTTTTGAAAAGGAGACACTGGCAGGCATAACATAATAAGCCATTCATCCCCAGTGCCCCTGGTTCCCTCTCCAATTCTAACCGCTGTTTCCTCCTCATTGCCTTTTCATTCTCTCGCTGTTTCTCATCCAGCAAATCTCCAGTTTTCTCGGCACTTTCGGACTTTCTTCCAGCCAACACGTCTCTCATTTCTCAGCAATGATAAAATGGTAATAAGTAAAGTGAGATAAGGTGAGATAAGGTAGTAAACATTGATATGTTGTACAATAAAGTCTTCAAGGAGCTATTTTCAAGACATTTGCATAAATATAAATTACATAGTTTCTTATAGTGCAGCATACAGTTACATCAGGAATCTTCATAGAAACCCACAAAGGGTTCTCAGTTGTCAAATTAAAGCAACCTGCTGGCTTCACTCTTCATTCTGATGGCTCCTCGATGGCTCCCTCTTCTTCCATTTTCTCTTCCTTTCTGTCCTCTGAAGCACTTTACTGCTCTTTTTTACTTCTGTTAGACCACTCAGGACTTTATATTTTTCTTTCCCTCTCTCTTACTTAGCAGAGTCGTGTTCACTTCTGAGTGGAGCAAAGTGCTTCTCTTTGACCTTCAACACAAGCCCACAAAGAGACAGTGGAGGAGACCCACCCATCATTAACTCACTTGACATGGACTGTATGGAGCACATAATCTCATCCCTCTATTCAAGAGACTTGATGCAGACCTGTGTTTACGGTTTTGTCCTGCTAATGTGGACTTCCATCCTCCGGAGTTTGGCTGCTGGCTGTTCATTGCCATTTATCACCCTGTCAGGTCCAATGTTGCTGTGTGTGGCTGAAAGGCCACGACAGAGCGCCATTTCTCCGGCATGTAACTTAATTAATTAGCTGTGTAGCAGCTCAAGTGATGGACGGGGCTCTTGCTCAGCAGTGACTTTGCACATACCCGTTTCTGTCTGTGAATTAGCTTTCAACAGATTAGAAGATGGTGAAGATGTAAGCACATGGAAAAATGTTACATGTAGGTACTGTTTTTGATATGTGTGCTTCTATGTACTTTAGACAAAGGTTCTGTCAAGGATTACACAATAAAGTCAAGACTTCTTTCCACTGTGTGATGATTCTTCCATATCTATTCTTTATTTTCCATTTCATGTACATATGCACTGTCACCTATGATGGCCTAGAATGACCTGTCACTATTTCAATGACAAATTTTAAATGCTTTAAATATAATTATATCATCTCCCTGATAATGACCCAATTAAGAATCAGCAAGTCAGCAGATACACATCTTGTTACAGAACGAATATAAATAAACAGTAATTATTTTTTAAGAGAACTCTGTGTAATTGTCTTAACGAAGCAGATATAAGAAAAAACAAAATAGTGTTTTGTGAATCATAATTACCCAGTTTGTGATTAATCCAAGTGGGATAGTACATAAAAAATATTTCTAATTACTGCATATGCAACATATTTAATACTTCTTAAGACTTAACTTCAAATTCACTTTAAAACTTTCTCAGACTTTTATATGGCCCTTTTACAGAAATTGCTTTTCACTCCTTTTCTGTGTTATTAGTCTATTCATACCTCTTGTTTGTCATGCAGTATGACCGTGCCAGTCTGCTCCACCACCTCAAATACCATGACGCTACACAAGTCCCTCCGCACAGACATGGTCATGTTAGCAAAGGCAGGCAGCTGGTGCATGAACTCCAGTAGTTGCTCTGTTTGGTACAAAAAGAAAGAAGAAAACACATTAAATGAGAAGAAAACAGTGTAAGCACTGGTGAAACATAAAAAGAGCATGTATCAATGTGTGCAAGAAAAGCAGTCATTGATTTTTCTGCTGACAAATAGCACCATTTTGGAAACAAACTATGGACTTTTAAATAGTCTGTTCTGTGAGCAAACCTTACACACATACATCACCAGGACTGCAGTGAATACAAATACAGAAGAAAAAATTAGAAAAGTATAGTCACAAAGATTTTAGGCTTCATCATTTTCATCTTATATGTTATATACTTACTAGATAATCATAAACAACTTATCTGCTTTGTATTTATTTTTCTACCAATCTGTACCCTGTGATAAATTAAAGTATGACTAAGCTAATGGTCCTGCTGCTGAAAACTAGATCAGAGCGTATTATCAGCGGTTAAGGTGTTTTAAAGTTAAATGAGAAATGTCCCCATCCCGTTCTACTCATCTCCTCCCCGCCTCCCCTGCACGATGGCTGAGAACAGAGTGACCTGGCTCCACCCTGCAAACCCGGCTCAGCGGCTCCCTTTCATTATTCTGATGTTACCACCTCATTCGTTTCCACGCTTCACTTCTTGCCTTTGTCAACCTAGTTTGTGTGTCGCATGAGAAAACAGAATCAATCGCAAAGTTTAGATCCAATTTTATTACTATGAGCGGAAACTTCTGTGGTAAATCATAGGTCTGGTGAGTTTAGGAGATTAAAGCTTTGCTAGCCAAAGTTATGTATGTAAAAATAAACACTTATTATTAGAAAAGCTCTGGGTAGAAGCCTTACTGCCACTGAGAATATCTCTGCCCAGTTTTTTAAGAAAAGTTTCTGGACAGAACACAAACAGATCTGGTAAAATAAAATACATTAATAAATTAGCCACACTGAACTCATGCTAACTGCATTAATGAAGAAAAAAATATTTATTTATTAAAAATGTCCGGATACTAAGTGAGCCAGGGTTAAGCCGGGGTTAGACGCGTCCTCGTGTCTCATTGTTTCCTCTGAATGAGCTGTGAGTGTCAGCAGTCAGTGGTGAAGGCCTCCAAGCAGGCACGCAGCATGCCAGGCCTTTACAACTTCCCTCAGCTCTCTGATGTGGTCACCATCTCCTCAGGAACCCACTGGGTTCTGCTAATGAGGTTGTCTCTCTGATTGCCTGCTTAAAAATACACACTGGAAGGGCACTGGTGTTTAGAGACCACCGCAAGGGGTCTTTTTGTGCGAGAGGCATTGGTGTATCTATGCTGAATGATAGATGGTGCCTGTGGGCTCTGTGTCATCAACCCTGAAACCAAAGTAGCAGCTACGCCCTCAAATTCATATCCATGTAAAGTCCCCCTCATTTACTTTAAGTCAATTTTAATCGACATGTAAAGTGTGCTACTCATTGGACGAGAGCGTATACTAATGTTTAAATAGAACATGAAGACAGTAGTTTGGTCAAGAGCAGCACAGAGTTAGACTAACCGATGTCGTCGTCATTGCGGTCTGCCGGGTCTTTTTCCAGACACTCTCGGACAAGATCTCGGCCCAGAAGAGTGTCTGAAGCTCTCTCCAGGTCCTCATCTTCTTCCTCCTCCTCCTCGCTGTCCACCGCAGCCTCTGGGAGTCCAGACAGGTCTACATCTCCCAGCTCACTCTCTGTGGCCTGGAGCAAAAACAATGGAGGCAGCAGTTAGTAATTTAACAACACCAGGAAGGAAGGAAGAGGTCTGTGGAGAACCATGACTGATCTGAATGAAAACGCTTAAATCAGAAAAATACTTCAGCTTTTTATATATCATCTATAAAACTGCTTCTTATGGATGTTCATGTAATGTAATAATTTTAGATTGGGTTTCATCAGCCTTAGGGTTTAACGGGCTCAAGTGTATCTGAAGCTTCAATTCCAGTAATAATGTGGACAGTAGTAATGTGTAAAATGGTTTGCAAGTCTCACAACAGTGCATTAGTGTAAGTTCTGCACTGTGATATCTGGTGTCATGCAGGACAATACTGTGACCTGAAAGAGCACATGAAAATGAAGCAACCAAATTCAAAATGTGATCTTTATTCATCAAATATTTCCTATAGATAACTGTTGTGGCAGTTAGCAATATCTCCTATACTACCTCAGCTTCAGACGGAATATCTTTTGAGAAAGTAACAGCATATTTTGAGAAAGACCTTAAGCTTGCAAATTCCCTTTTTTAACTTTACAGCTCTATTCCATTTCTTCCCTCTATTATGAGGATTTTCAGTTGTGCGTCATCTACACAAAACATGAATAACAAGTTTGGAATGAGCAGCTGTATCTGTGACCCTGAGCGAAAAACCCTGGCACCAAGTCTCAAACCAGAAAACAGAGGCAAACAGCCAAATATTTAAATCCAGCAGTAATAATTCATATTCCATCAGATTTCCCCAGCGCAGGGCAAACAGATGGCTGGCACAGAGCGATGCTAAAGGGGCACAGAGCTTTCAGGGCAGGTGGGATTTGAACCACCAACCTAGAGGTGAAAAGAGGAACTCTCCGGTGGTAGTGGCAGCATTGCAGGCCATCTGTTAGTTCTTACAGGTAGGTCTAAAAACAGTGAAGAATTATAGAAAACGTTCTCTGATCAGGCAAAACCAAGCCTGGTTTTTACCCGTCTGTTTTCAAACGAGCTAATATTTATCTATTTAGGGGCGTTCTGTAGCTGAATGGTTATGGCGCGACCCACCATACACTTGGCAGCACACTGTGTGCGCGATGAAGACAGATTGAGTCTGACCAGATTGAGACTTCCCTACCCTCCTTCTGTCCCTCTGGTTCCTGTCTGGCTCTCAGTGATTCACTATCAATAAAAGCTAAAAGCCCACAAAAATACTGTACAACTTTTATACATATAATTTATTTCATTCTGTTTTTTCAAGTTATGGACTGCAATATATTCATTACTTAATTTCACAAGCACAACTTGGTACAAATTTGCCACCGAGTGCTGCTGTGCATGCTCACAGATGTGCTGTTGCTAAAAGACAACTGGTGGCATGGTGCTGAGAAAGGAACCACTATCTGCTCTCCACACACAGGGGATGATCCTGTAGCTAGCAAATGGTCCAGCATTTTCCTAGTTAGTAGATTTGACTGGGATTAATTAGCTATCCTAGTCGGTGGGAAAACGTTGACTTCCTGGCCTACACACTACAAGAGCGACTCCCTAACCAACAATGCAATCGAGCTCTTGGGTTCTTTGGAGATTTGTGCCAACAGCATGTCTACAGTCAGGCACAGGTTCACTTTGGTTTTTAAAATTAGGTTGGACAGGCTATTTAGAGGACCTTTAAAACACCCAGTGGCTCAGCTCTGCAGCAGATAATTTGTCCTAAGAGATCAGAACAGACTAAGCCAAACAAAACACTTAGCATTCCAAAATTAAAGATAACATCTGATTTTATTTTATTTGTTAGCGTCTTTTCCCCCATGACACTAATGATAAATGACCGACATAATGACATAACAACCTGCGCTGGCTGGACTTTATTTATTTATTTATTATTTTCTGCCTGGACCTGAAGAACCAAAGGCAAAGCAAGGGGAATTGCTCCTAAGGTATTAACCAGTGCAGTGTAACACAGGGGTGTGGTCTACATAAAAACTTATTTTTTCTTTTGCTTCACCTCTGACTGATTGATTCTTAGAGGAAATTTGTCTCACGTATTCACCGAGCCAACAGTGTGCAGAACAAGACAAAGGCCAAAAGTGCAGTGGTATACTTTATAGTCGCCAATAACAAGAGTAAGCATTAGGCTGTCTTGAAGAAAAGTGGGCGTCAGTTTAAGCTTTGTTAAAAAATTGAAGCTGTGAGTAGGAAAAAACTATGGTGCAATGTTGAGACAGTAACTCCTCATCGTATCCTCATTGTCTTTCCCTCTCAACCTCTGCCACTGAAATATCTTTCAAGGCATTCAGATACAGTAGCAGCATATGCCCTTTCAGTCCAGTTCCCCCAGGTCTCAGACAGTTTCAGACAGAAAAGTGAAAAAGGTGGGAAGAATGCACAGGGGTCAGGATATATGGCAACCAAGAGATGAAAGAAAGGAACACAGTGATGTGGGAGGGATACAGAATAATAGAAGAAGAGAGGTGTCTGACAGGGGAGCGATGTAAAAGAAGGAAAAAGCAGAAAGGAGTAAATGAGAAGGGAGAACACAAAGTAACAAAGGGTTGAAAAACTGGGGGAAGAGACCAAAGCAACAACTGTGAGTTAACTTAAGGTTAACTCACAGAGAGAGACAGACAGACAGACAGAGAGGGACAAAAAGAGAACGACTGGGAGAAACCCCAAGTAAGAACAGCTGCTGTCTGCTGCGCCCACAGCTGAGGACTGGAGGATCAGCGCGGTCAGACAGCTGTAAACAGACACAGAGCCGGGTCAGTGACAAGCTGATGGGATCAGGCCTGAATGATAAATATCTAATCTCAGGATGAAGAGATCAGGTCCCTGTGTTAAACGTCTGACCCAGGCCGACCTGTCTTATATCGGTCTGCAAACACTTACAGTCCGACAGGCTGAGGAGGGATGGTGGGTCATGGTGCACAGTAGGACGTGTACAAGATAAGGAGGGTAAAATAATCTGAAGGATGAGCATAGGTGACTTTGTGAAATTCTGCTGGTAAGTCAGTTTACCTGACTGTATTTTGCACCAAGTTCATTAAATATTCCATAAAGTCTAAGTTGTGCCTTTTCCTGTTTTCTTCTCAACTCCATGTTAATTTCTCCTGTTTTTAAATTTTGTTTGTTTGGGGAATTCATGTTAACATAATCATTTGGTACAAGAGACAACGGCCTCCAAATCAGTTTGTTAAGGTGGTTAAAGGAAGTACAAAGAACAATGTACCTACACACGACTCATATTTACAAGATCAAAATGGATAAAATGTGATCTTTACACTGAAACGTCAAAATTCAAGTTATTAGCATTGTTAACATGCCTCACAAAAATAAATCTGCTCATTAAAATGGTAAATGGTAAATGGACTGTATTTATATAGCGCTTTCTCACAGTGTGTTACACTGGTCAAAGCGCTTTACAGGAGATTATACACCATTCACCCATTCACACACACACATTCACACACCGATGACGAGATTAGTTTAGTTTTGTGGCCGGCAGTGCCTATTGATCAGACCAGCCCATTAACTTGTAACAAGCTCATTAATTTGTAGCTAACGGACTTCACCGGTTCCACTGAAGAATCCTAACAAAACCCTCTCCCACCAACACACACAAACATGTTTTCAGAATATGGCACACACAGAGGAACAGCACACCAAAATATTCTATCATAGGGTAAAGAAAAGCCAAGGATGAAAGGCAGAGTAATATTAACATCTTAGATTTATTACACATCTCTGTGTACAGAAGGGCTGAGGGATTAAAATGATGAGATGATGGCCTCGCCATGTAGCCGTTTATGGATTACTGATCCCAGGGACTTTTCACTCAAGGAGGGCCTGTACACCTCGTGGGTCAAAAGGAGGGCAGAAAAGATTTGTGCAGACCCAACACACCCTGGACACAAATTCTTTCTCTGCATTAAACGTCATTTTAATGGCGATTCCCTGGCTGTTGTTTGCTGAAGAGATAAAGTGCCGTGCTCATGGATTCCTGACTTTCCTGCTCAGTGAAGCCTAAATAAGTACTGAGACAGACATCAAGTACATAACTAATGTACGAGATGTCTTTAAATTTCCCTCCCACTCCTTGCTGACACCACCTGAGGAAGCCGACTGAAGGAACACCTGCCGAATGATATAAACCCAGCTACACTGATGATGATACAGCTTTCATACCTGCAGCACAGGTACATACACAGCCTGAAAGGTTATGTTCGCTTCCTGCATGTGCCCTTTCCTCCGCAGCGGGTAGTGCAGAGGGAGAAGGATCACCAGGATGCACAACTGATGAACAATAATTAGCTAGATACCAAGGAGGGATAAATTACAGTGAGGCAGGGTAGTGTGCTGACAGACCAACAGGAGCAGATCTGCTATCAGTAAAACGCCCCTGCCAGAGAGCAGATGGATAGTCTGGATAGGCCTCATTATTTTTGTGCAGTATGTCATGTAATAATGGTGGCAGGGACAAGAAAAGCTTCATTTTTACTTATCATATATTCTTTTTTTTAAGAAATTCAGAAATTCACAATAAAAGCAGGAAAACATTCTAAGACCTTATTTGAAAGACAAGAGAGTCCGAATACAGGTTCTCTGTATTTCAGATTATACCAATGGTGAACAACAAACTTCTTATGATGAAATGTCACCTTAAATATTTAACAGAAGAAAGGACTAAGTGAAAGAAAAACTGTTCAAACTTTTTACAGTAAAAAAAAAAAAAAAACCCAAAAACCACGAGGTTTCATGGAACTGGAGAATTAGGAACTTATCGGTATGTCATGGTTTTTATAACCCTTCTAACTACATACTGGTGTTCTCAGAAGGGTTTATCGGCTGTTGCTGCAGTTTAGAAATGAGAGTTGAACAAGAAATGAGGTTCTCACCTGGTAAATATCTGACAGGCTGCTGCTCCCCGAGTCACTGGCGATGCTGCCTCCT